CCACCCAGCCTCACATCCCCCACTCACCAAAGACACCAGCTCCCCTCTCACTCACCATCGACACCAGCTCTCCTCTCTGATCCCCCACCCCACCCAGCCTCACATCCCTCACTCACCAAAGACACCAGCTCCCCTCTCACTCACCATAGACACCAGCTCTCCTCTCACTCACCATAGACACCAGCTCCCCTCTCACTCACCATAGACACCAGCTCCCCTCTCACTCACCATAGACACCAGCTCTCCTCTCACTCACCGTAGACACCAGCTCTCCTCTCTGATCCCCCCCACCCCACCCAGCCTCACATCCCTCACTCACCATCGACACCAGCTCTCCTTTCTGCATCGTCTCCGTCAGCTTCTTCCCCCTCTCTGACCCCGACGCGACCTCTGCCCTCAAGAGGTCACCGGAGGACAAGTGAGTGAAGCCAAACTTCTCCACAATTTTCTCACACTGCGTGCCTTTGCCACTGCCCGGACCACCTGCGGGGAGGACAAAACGGAAGCTTAGCGGCGGCCATCTTTGTTCACGACACAGGTTTAGCATTAATATCAGTTTACTTACAGTCTAGGACACACAGAGCAAAACCTGCAGGATGTGGAAATCGGTAAGATTGAAGAATACCGGACCAGCGGACTGACTTTGCTTATGTCTCAACCTTAGGAATTCATAATTTTCCCGTTTTTAATATCTCTCAATGGAGAATCTCGGACAGGTAGATCCATTCATTAAAATTTTGTCAGGGGGGAGACCCCCCTGAACCCCCCCTCCCCCCTCCTCCACCCCGACCACTCGCCCCGCCTACCCCATTTTCTCGCTCAATAATGTACGAGTGGTCCGGTATTCTTCAATCTTCCCGTGGAAATCTTTTCGTTATGTATGAATTTCCTTATGTACTTATTTTAACTCCTTAACTTTGACAAGCCACTCCCAGCGGCTCACGGTCGGAACCTCTGTGTTGGTGAGCCACTCACGGTCGGAACTCTGTGCTGACAAGCCACTCCCAGCGGCTCACGGTCGGAACCTCTGTGCTGGTGAGCCACTGGCAGCGGCTCACGGTCGGAACCTCTGTGCTGGTGAGCCACTGGCAGCAGCTCGGGCACATTCCTTTACGACCACTTCGACATCAAATTGCTTTTTGGCAATTGCCAAAAACAAATCTCTTTTACCGGGAGTTGATTAATTAGACGAAGATCTATCAAAATAGGTTCACTTGTTTTGACTTAATGACCCACCTAGAGACGTTTTTGTCATTTTTAAATTTAGCACCAAAAACGGGCCCTGGCGTAGTGGGTTCCTCTGAGGTAAAGAGTTAAATATGTACAAAAAATATCACATGTATAAGAAAAACTTCAGGAGGAGAAATCTGTTAGCTGTGTGCATGTCTTGCTACGTCCATGCTAGACTGTAGTCTGAGGTAACACAAGTGCACAGCTGCCAAAGCCAAAGGTTTGTTATGTCCCCTTTACTTCATAGCAAAAATTAAATAAGTTCACAAATTCAAACATTAATAAACTTGAAATAACAACTTTCCTC